AATTTCTAAAAAGAATCTGATTCAAATTCCTTTTTCATCTTCTTTAACTTACTTATGTTTACTTACTGTTTAGAATCCTATATTATGAGTTCTTTGGAAGAACACAAAGAAAATCCTCTAATTACATAGTAACAACTTCCTTTCCACACCCTACAGAATATTAACTATTTGATTTATTAAACTCTAAAGTGAAGGTAAGTATTTAGGTCATTAGCCTACTCCACATATTGAAGTAATATCTCCCATCTCAATTAAAGTATAGCCTTCAGGTAGCGTTCAGGCATTTCACAGAAATACCTACACTCAGAAAAATAATTTCTAGGAAGAAAACCAAGAAACAACATTGTAGAGGGATGTTGATAAATGGAAAAAAAAATTACAACTAGAAGGAATAATATATATCTAGGGTTATAAAATATGGTGAGGAGTATGTGGTTAACAATGACATACTGTGGGACCAGCAGTGGGCATAATGGCTATGTCACTGGACTCCCATGTAGTCGACTGCAGTTCAAGTCTCGTCCAGTACCCAATGGCTTAAACTCACACCGGGCGCAGGTGCATGCATGCATGCCCAAGATCCCGAATGGAGAATGGAGGAAAAAGGATTACAGAGTGGCGGTCCTGCCTGGGGAGTGATTTATCCCTTTCTGTCTCTCTGGCAAGAGCATGCACCCTAGAGCAGAAATCTCTTACTCCCCCCAAAAAATGACTTACTGTATATAATATTTCAAATGATTGAGATGATGGGCACATTAATTACCCCAATTTAGTCATTACACACGGTATTCATGTACTGAAAATCACATTGTAAAAACTGTCACATTAAAAGAAGTTATCAATCAAAAACACTGCATATTTTTATGTTGAGTATATTAGCAGTATTTTCAATTAGCAGCACCTCATAGTAAGCTATGATGCACATATTAGACATGACTATAGAAACTCTGGTCAAAAGTGAGGAGATACACACAAAGGAACAAAATAACAAGGGAGACAAACACCAAAACCAGAGTATTTTACTAAAAATAGAACTTGGTAATATTTAGAATGTCTTCTAAAATGATATACTGGGGGAGAAAAAATTGCTCCAAAAATAAATATAATTAAACAAAAAAGTTTTCCAAAAAAGCAGAAATGAAAACAAAATGTTCAAATAAAGCTGGGTTAAAAGTCATAAAGTGAAACAGCTTTTAGATAACTGTGTCTATTTATTCAAATAATACTAAAACAGGACAAAGCAAGGACTCAAAGCAATGACATCTAACTAGACCAATGTAATAAATGAGGTCATCTGGGAAGTAATGACACATTTTTCTATATCTTAATATGCAAAAACACATCATAACTTTCCCAGTCACGTAATACAACCCAAATCTAAGGTATTTTGTAGAATTACAAAATACAGGTATTTTGTAGATTTCTCTTTTTCATTTCATATCACCAAAAGTTGGGAATAAAGCAAGAATTCTAGAATCCAAATGAGTGTGCAATCTAAAAAGTATCATGAATCCCTTCCTCAAGCACATGCCATTTAAGCAGCAATGTAGTTTCTTGTTTATTTTAATTGACATGATAGAATAATATAAGGAAATGCTGGTGAAACAGACCAAAGTGAAGTCTGATTCTAAACTTTGGAAAATGAGGAGGACACCGAAGGTGACAAAGACTGGCCCATATCATGTAGATACTAACGTTCCTACTTGATGATCTATTAGTTCAGAAATAATCCAACATTATACCAGGTACTGTGGGTGTTACAGAGAAGAATGAGACAGGGATCTAGCTTCTAAATACTTAAAAATTATCAGAAGAGCGGGGCCAGCAGTTGCCATAGTGGTTACATTGATGGACCCACATGGCCAACCACAGTTCGACTCCCAGACTGAGTGGCTTAAAATTCATGCCAGGCACATGTGCAAGTGTGTGTGCCCAAAATCTGGAAGGAGAATGGAGGAGAAGGGATTTCAGCATGGCCATTTCCCCTGCGAGGTGACTTCTCACTTTCCCTCTCACTGAAACTGTCTGTCTAACAAGTAAATTTATATGTATATTTTCTAGAAATCATAATACCTAAGATGACTTTGTTTTCAAAAATATTATTAACTCTATTATTATAATTAACATCCTCGCCCCCCCCCCTTTTTTTTTTAATAGAAAGAGCTTTTTGCTATAGGGCACATGTGCTCACCTAAGAAATAGAGTCACTTTAGAGACACAGAGAGAGAGATGGGAAGATAAAAAGTGAGAAATCATCCTCCAGGGAGGATGGCTATGCTCAATCTCCATTCTCCTGTCAAATTTTGGGCACACATTCACACACACCCAGCATGAGTTTCCAGCTGCCAAGTCTGGAACTCAAACCAGGGTCAACCACGTGGGAGTCCAGCATCTTAAACATTATATCACTTGCTGTCCCTTATAGCATCCCTTTTTAAAAAAGAATCTTTGAAAAATAGAACCACTCCACAAAATCCTCACACTATAAAAATGAGCACAAGGTGTTCAAAAGTACTTACCATAAGGAAACAAAATTAGAAACATTAAATCGGTTGTATAATTGTGCATCCACTGCTTAATGTGTTAAAGGAATATGTTGCATTCCTACTAACTGTTACCTTCACAAGCCATGTTTAAAGAAAAATTCTAGGAAATCATTAGTAGTAAGAGCTAGTGGAGTACAAGCCAGCATTGCTAGATCACATGACCTCAGCTGCTTCGCAAGAATTCATGAGCTCCTTCAGAGCCTCCATTTAAAAGGAGGTCTCGGGGCTCCACTGCAATGTAAAACTGACAACGTGAGATTCATGAGATTAATTGCCAAAGAAGGCAGGACTGAGGATACCTTTAAAATGCAATCATTCCAGCCACAAAATTCAAAGAAATCACACTTAAGTGTTTAGTAAAATTAATATTGCAACACATACTGCCACACTAAATCAACATGTTAAAGTCAGAATATCAATACTGTCAGTTACTACTCTGCAATACTGAAAACTGCAATTCAATAATTGCTCTGGAGAAAGAGGAATAGAAGTTCATCAACAGAGATTACTCAAAATAGATAAGTTGAGAAAACAACTGGGATCCACTGTGAATTTTGATAATTTCCAATCAGAAATAAAACACGAGGGTTTGAGCATCAGTGTGAAATAGAGTACACAATTCTATTACAGAATAAAATAGATTTATATGGTTTTAATATTAAAATAGAAATGGCAGATTATATATTCTAAGGAGGCAATTTTGAGGAGGTTAAGATTAATAGAAGCTTTAAATCAATTCCAAAGAGTGATTAATTAATCAGAGTATTTTCTTCTTAAAACATGCTACTTGGAACCAGCATAAAAGATCAGAACCACTTTTAGAATCACGGTGGGTGGCCTAGGCCCAGCCCGGCTCTGCCATGCATCGGACAGGTACCTTGGACACCGGACTACTCAGTTTGTGAGCTCAGGAGCCAGGCAGGAACTGTGGGTGGAACAGAGCACGCTTAACATGCTGGTGAACTGAATTAGGTGATGCCTAATTCCTAAATCTACGCTTTAAAGTGCACGAGAGGACATCGCAAACCCAACAGACTCTATGACATTACACTGACTCAAACAATATGAATAGGACCTGCATGGTAAATAAAATCTGGACATACTGATACAGCTGGATATATTTATCCAGGATGCACTTCCTGGCCATTTTATAGCAGTTCTATATTTACACAGTTTTTCTTAACAAAATGAACACTCCAAGGCAAATACCAAAATGTTTTCTGGGCATACAAATGCAAAGACTTCTTAAATAAGAGTTATTACCTCTGACATCAAATAGATCAGGTTATTTGGATTACAAATTGCCCACACTTTTCTCCTCTCTTCTCTCACTACAAAGAGTGAATGGCAGCAATAAAATCATTTGGAAAGACATCCGTCACTCATTCCTTTAATTTATAGTCACCATATGTCTACTTCCACACTAAGAACTAAATATGCATAATGATAACATAAATTTTCATCACACAAAACGTATTCCTTATACTGTTCTTCAGATTTTCAACCTTAGTTGCAAGAAAATTTAATTCTTCGTCACTAAAGATCATTGAGGAATAAAGCAAACAGTACTATTAGAATTGAAATCACTGAGCAAAGCAACCCCTCTGGAACTAGTGTGAGGGACAGACACAGTGTTGATATCTGGTTATTCTTCACTTTCAAAAACATTGTAGTCTCTTTGAAAGACAATTTCTTAAAACATTTAGATAGAACAGAATTAAATGGCAAAATGTATAAGAGAGTATATTAATGGAATGGAGATAAAAGATTGGATGTAAGCTAATGTTTGAACATGGGCTTTAGGAAAAACAATCTATCAACAGAACAAAAGGAGTCTGTCTCCGAAATGAGAGGTCATTTGTTATTTAAAGGTTCCATCTCAAGTTCTCAACCGTGCCTGACAGGGAGAAGACACTCTAGAACCTGTTAAGGTAAACACCATGGATGAGTAAGTGAGAGAAAGACTTCAAGCAATCAATAGTTAAAAAGTTGAGTATGCGCATGGTTTCTTCTAGGTTCACTGAGGAAAACCCACCTTGACCTTTACTTGTAATATTTATTTTTCAAGAATTTCAAAATATGGCTGGACAGAAAAATGAAGGAAAATTTTGAGGCCTTACAACTATAAATGTGGACAGGATAAATTGGCAGCCCCATGAGGTTCATAAATAGAGAACTGGCATCAAGAAATTCCTTTAATTAAATCTATAGTGCATATAAGGTCAGCATTAGGATGATATGGAGATAGAAGATGAATTACAGCTAAGTGTGAAACTGTACACAATCGCATGTGTGCAGTCTAGTCTTTCAACGATATGTGTTAGATCATCAGGAAAAGCATAACGTGTTTTTCTATGTGAAAATGCATCATGAATTTCATGATGACCCAATAAATGTGTCCACATTGCACAGGATGAGACGAGTGAGTAAGTGACATTAAAATAAGCTACTTACCGCTGTCCATGCATTTCCTTTGCACCGGGCACACAGCCATCCATCATAAATCTCACGAGATGGGATACCATAGCAACCTATAAAATAATAGGATAAATCTATTCATTGTCTATGCATTTTTATGAAATTCCACGTCTAAGCTCCAAAATAAATAAAATCAAGACAACTGCCTACCATTATCTCTTAATTCCCACTGATTAGAAACAGAACATAAGCAAGCTGTCTCAAAAATATTTTGGGGGGCCAGATCCAGTGCAACAGACAGTAAGGCGCCACTGCTCGATGCTGGAGACATAATGGAAGAACCAGGATTCAGAAGCCAGGTTGACCTGAACATACAAATTGCACCTGTGATCCCAAATGGCTGAGGGTGATCATAGCATACTGAGACCCTTCAAGGGTACCTATGTATACATGTGTGTCTATCATGAAACAAATTAAATATAAAAAAAATACTTTTGAGTCTTATGCTTCATAACTTGTATGGCAATAGTTCCAGGAAATATGAGCGTGTGGACTTATTGGTAACTAATCATGTCCATAATAGTTAGCATAGAGTCTATTAACTGTTTTGTTTTGCTATAGGAGCAGGCACTCACTGGAGACAGACAGAGCCAAGAGTGACAGAGAAAAATGAGAAATGACAACCACCACCACATGCCACAATCCCTTTCTCCTCTATTCTCCTCTTGGAATTTTGGACATGGACGCAAATACCCCCACTGTGTTTTCTCAAGCCAATGGGTCCGGGACTTGAAGAGCACAGTCAACTATATGGGATCCAGCTGCTTCAAACTCCATGCCATCTGCTGGCCCCAGTGATAACTGAATGGGCAATAAAAAAACTTTTATTTTGGCAGATAAAGTCCTTGACTTGAGTAAAGTATTTCAAAATAAGTTGCAAACCATGGAGCAAAGGGGAAGTGTGGTGTTATCATTTGAAGATATTTTGATCAACGGGACTGGGGAGAAATGTTCACATATTGAAATGCTCACGTTGTAAGCTAAACAATGCGACTGAATGTATATACAAAAAAAAGAAATAAATTAAATTTAAAAAATAAATTTAAAAAATGTTATGGAAAATTTTAAATCATACAAGCATAAATGTTGGCATATTTTTTTAAATTAATGCAATTTAAAATGACACTTCAAAAATGGGCCCTAATTATCTTTTTTAAAAAGGATTATTTATTTCATTCCATTTATTATTATTATCTTTTCATTTGACCAGAGAGAGACAGAGGAAGAAAGAAAGGCAAAGTGAGAAAGCAAGTTGCTTAGTCCAGGACGTGAACTATAGTTGACCATGTGGGAGTAAAGCACCTTAACCACTAAGCCACCTGCCAGCCCCAAACTCTAATTAGATTTAATTTCAGTTATAGGGAAAAGGCTGGCCAATTCATGCTTAGTGAGGAAGGAGTATCTTTCATTTGTCTACTTAGTACATGCCTAGCCCAAAACAACTATCTAAGGAAATGGTTGATAGTGTAAATATATTCAGCAACTATATGACACCAATAAAAACAAATTACTTAATTTCCTGAATAAATAGAACTTAGAATTATTGCAATTATTTGTTATAAAATTTTGCCAGAGACCCCATACACTCACTTGAGAAAGAGAGAGAAAAAGTGAAAAAGCACCTCCCAAGGGAACAGTCAGGCCCAGTGGCTTAAAACTTATACCAGGTGCATGTGCATGTGTGCGCAAAACCCCAAGAGGAGAAAGGAGTAGAAGGGATTGCAGTATGGCCATGCCCCCCGGGAATGATTTCTTGCTTTCTGTCTTTTGTATCTGTCTGTCTCTCTGGCGAGCGCACACATCCTACACCAAAAATCTCTCTAAAAAATAAAATAACAAATTGAAACTAGCATGACCCCTAAGTATCTTGATCTAGGGAAAACAACTGCAATAACTCTTCTACCCTGGACAGTAAGAGAGATTGCCTAACCTTGTGAAGAAAAAAATTTTTACTAAGTACATTGATTCTCAGAATCAACAAAGAAATATTCATTGCTCTTTCAAAAGTCAAAAAGACAAATAAACATCAAACATCAGACACAAATTAAGTGGAGTTTTGTTGTTGTTGTTGTGTTAATCTTCAGAAGGCAAGCTTACTTGCCAGAAATGGAGACAGAAGAGAAGGAAAGTCTTCCCTCCTCAAGTGAAGCATGGTCATGCCATAGTCCCTCCTCCAGTTCTCCTTTCTGTTATGATTTGGGGCCTATATGCACACAGACTTTGACTCAATGTGTTTTTCAAGCCACCAGGAACAAGATTCGAACTGCAGTCAGATATGTGGGATCTGGCTCCATTACACTACACTCTGAGAACAGCCTTCGAACTGAGTTTTTATAAGCTACATCTTATTGTAAGTAAAATTCAAGTGCACGAAAATCACCTTTGATGTATTCTTCATGTGACCCCTCCCAAATAATAACAACAACAAAGCAACCTGCTGTGCACTGATACTGTATAAAACTAGAAAAGAAAGGATCATTGTACCTACTCATACTTTTACAAGGGAAAAATGTGAAAAAAGAACTTAACCTTTCAGAATGTGAAAGTCCAACCCAATAGATAAGATAGGTCCAAGGAGGTGAGAAACAGGTTGTGAGAAACATTGAACAGTCACTGATGGATGAACTATAGATTCATTTACTTGCATGAACCCGGACGCGGCACTTCGCACAGGAAATCAGAAGACTTGTTCCATCCTCTTCAAGGAAGGCATTGGGTGGAGGATATTCTATATTTCCCTCACTATAAATAAAACATATCTCTGGAATGAGGGGCTTGCTCTTTCCTCCTGATGTAACGATGTCATCCAATGCTGTCTCCCATCTAGAATCATTTTCTTCATTGCTGCTCTCTGGCTGAAAAACACAACATGCCCACATGAGTGAAACCCGGGAAAAGAACTAATCATTCCTTCTACTCATCAAATACAGTTAGAGCTGACCAGCCATGAACTTCCAACCTTTGTTCTTCCTGTTGTTCTCCCTGACTTAACTATTACTTGTTGCCATCAATGCTCCTCCTCAGACCCCCAGCCAGAAGCAAATTTGTAGGGGATAACAGAGTGCTCTACAAATCTGCTCACAAAAAAGTGATGAACTATTGAAATTTTATTCTTTCAAAAACAGTTCACAGAAAGCACTCATAATTCCGAGGCTTTTTTTCCTAATTATTTGAACAAGGGAAACAGATCTACTTTCATTTACTGAAGAGTCTTACCTTGGTTACACTTAAAAGAGAGTCGACAAAGACAGAAGTTTTAATCTTTGCAACAGGACTTAAAGGTTCACAGGGGGGCCGACAGGTAGTGTGGTGGTTAAGGGTGCTGTACTCCCACATGGCCGAAAGCAGTTCAAGTCCTGGACCTGGTGACTTGCCATCTCACTTTCCCTCTCTCTCTCTCTCACTCTGTCCCACTGTGGTCAAATAAATAAATAAAGTTAAATAAAGATTATTTTTTAAAAAGAGGCTTCATAGACTTTCCCTTACCCCATGGTTTTAAAATAGCAAAAGATATGTATCTGCTATATGTTATTAAATAAGAAAGAAAAATGTGCCAAATAAAATTGTCACTTACCAAAAGACATGAAATATATGGTTAGTATTTATTTCAAACTATAAGAAAATGAATTGACTTGTTAGTTCCAGAGATCCAATACAATAAATTTTCCTAAATATTACAATTTTAGTTGGATTTTTTTAATTAATCGGATATATACAAGCATTTGCAATGTAGAAGTGAAAATCAATAAAAACTTAATATACAGAGCCACCTGGGGGCATGGTGGTTAAGGCAGTTGGATCCCACATGGCCAACTGTGTAGTTCAAGTCTTGACCAACAGTTTGGATAACATATTGGGCACGTGTGCCCAAAATTCCTAAAAGAAAATGGAGAAGGGAAAAGGACTGTGGAGTAGCAGTCCTACAGGTGGGATGCTTTCTCACTCCTCAACCTACCCCTTCACAAGCACATGTGCCCTCTAACAAATAATTTTTTTATTTGTTGACAGATTTTTGCCACAGGGCATGTGTGTTCGCTGGACAGACACAGAGAGACAGAAAGGTAAAAAATCACTGCCAGGTGGGATAGACATGTTGCAATCCCCTCTCCTTCATCCTCCTCTCGGTATTTAGGACACATGCTCCTAGTGTGAGTTTTAAGCCACTGAGTCCCGACTCAAATCACAGTAGGCCATCTGGGAGTCCAGTGCTTTAAACACTCCACCACCTGCTGGCACCCTAAAATATAATTTGAACATAAGTTAAAAATCAGATTGTTATTTAAGTTGCCAGAGAGCATGAGAGACTCATTAGAAAGACAGAGAAGGATTTAGGATTTGAAATACACACACATAGGCACAGAACGATTTACCAGCCCATTGGGTCAGGATACAAATTGCAGACAGGTTTCTGTAAATCAGGCCTCCCTTAGCCACCAAACTACAGGGCTGGCCCAAAATACAGAAATTCAAAGACTAAAGGAAAACAAAAATAGTATATATTGCTTATCAGTGCTACATTCAAAAGTATGAATCAAGTAAACTATTTTCTCTACTTGCAAAGGTCTAGAAATGTGAGTTATCACGTATTTTCTTGCTCTGAAATGTCTGAACAGAATAAAGTTTAATTTCACATTTCCCTAAGAAAGAAATTATCTTGGATTATAAAAATATCTCTTTCTATTAGTAAAAACATGACCCAAAACAGAATGTTCATATGAACACACCTTATAATATCTTGTATATTAAAATAGAACATGAAAGGCTGGCAGGTGGCATGGTGGTTAAGGCACTGGACTCCCATATGGTCAGTGGGGGTTTGAATTCCAGAACTGGTGGCTTGCTTTTTCACTTCCTCTGTCTCTCTCTGATCAGATTGAAAATTTTAAATAAATAAATAAATAAAGTTCTACCCTTACACGAGTCCTAAAGATCATTTCATCTGGGTTCATGCTAAAGAACGTGACCCTCCATGAGCTGAGATGCTATCAGCATAACATATAGGGAATAATGTTCAAAACAACATCACAACCCGCAGATGAGAGGGAATGGACGATTCAGTTTGAATTAAGTCCTGGGTGTGTCTTTTGCCTCTTCCACATACAAAGGTAAAGAAAAACATTTAAATTTGGCCTCAGCACTGACAATTACATTGTTTGAAAATGACATTTTCAAATAAAAACAGAGAATTAATCTGAGTTCTCTCTTTTCAAGCTTCTAGTTCTGTGTTTCTTAGTAAAAGAGGTAGAAAGGCTGGAATTGCCCTGTCTCTGAAATTAACCAAGATCATTTAAAAAGATAAAGTACTGTCTGAAAAATGGCTCTCAAGCATCACTCAGAAATAGTTCATTGTTCTGTGAAGGCCTCCAGCTCCAGAAGGATTAATGTCTTCCCTAGAGGTGCATACCAAGCCTCCCAGGGTGTGAAGGTGACCTGTGGGTATACAATCCTGAAAGTGCAGAGGAAGGAATCTTCACTGCTGCGGTCCCTCTCCCCACCAGCACCGTTACCTTGTAGTACGGCATAAGCAGAGTGCAGATGGCACAGTGAGGCTCCATCTTCGCCACGGCTGCGTTATACTCTTGCTCAGCCACAAAGTTCGGGGACTTTGTCTGCCAAAGGTGGACAAGAGGCTTTGCCCAAGACTCTGTTTCTTCTACTTCCTCCTCAGTTGATGGAATCTCAGGCAACTCTGGAAGGAGAGGAAAGGAAAACACAGGAGGTGTAGGTCCCAGGTAAACACAGTAACTCTAGTCATAAAAGCAGCAAATGGTCCCAAGTATCGGTGATTTTCAGGTCAGATACCAAACATTTTTATCAATCAAATAACTCTGACAGACATAGAATAAAGGGAGTCTTCTTTTCATCCTCCCCATCTCGCAAAGACTAGATCAGACAACCACTCTCTGTTTATCACCTTCCCAGTCCTTGCCATAAAGTGGTAAGATAAGTTTAGGGGTTTGACATTATCTTCCAGTCATCAGCAACTTTAATTAAATTTTGGGCTCAAAAACTCATATAACATTTATAGAGCACATACAATGTGCCAAATGTCCTGGCATTACATAAGAGACAAGCCACCAGTGAAATCTTCTCATTTATTCCATATCATTGCCCAAGAGCATCAATCTCCTAGTCATGTAACAAGAAAGGAGCAGAGATCTATTCCACCAAGAATATTACTTCACAAAATCTTACAGAAGGCCAGAAATATATAGAAAGACATAATATGTTAGGAGAAAAAAAAACCCACATGCTTATACAGAGGATAGTATGTTAGGACAGGGGGCAGTAACTATAGCCACGTCAAATGCTTAGTGTCTAGGGCTGTGACACAAACTAAAATTCCTCACCAGAAGCTGTCAGTCTTATGAATAACACTTTGGGTCAATGTCCTTAGATCCAAAGCACAGATGAACCAATGTATTCTAGCCTTAGCCATGCTGATATTTTTTTTAAAGAAATCAGATCAAATTTGCTCAGATGGAAAAATAGGAAGGTTAAAATAAGACTGAAAATAACTCAAAAGATGTCAAGGCCAACTGAAGTAAAAAGGAATGATCTTGTTTCCATTGTGGTGGCGTCAATTTTATTATTATTACCATTATCATCATCACTATTTTTTTACTAATATTGAAAAAAATACTTGGGACTTAGCCAGGGGCAAAGTATTTGAAAACAAAATAAAAGGTTAAGAATGTCTGCTTATATAGGTTGAATATCTCTTATCTGAAATGCTTTACATTAGAGAGCTTTAAATTTCATACTTTTTTTGTCAAAATATTTATATATAAATGATCCAGTATTTTGGAGATGGGACCCAAATCTAAACATAAATTTGATTATATTTTATACACATCTTATATATACAGTCTGAAAGTAATGTTATAAAAAAAATCTGTAAGTTAAAGAACACTTTAACTCCAGCCCATCGCACAAGAGCAACTGTAGAATATTCCACCTGTGGTATCTCATGGGAGGTCAAAGTTCAGATTCTAAAGCATTTAGGATTTCAGATTTCCAAGTTAGGGATGCTCAATTGGTTATCTGGAATGACGTAAGCTAACTCTAAATATGAACTTGTTCTAACTTCAATTCTCTTACATTATATGATACAAGACATACTGTGATCTCATGACAAATGAAAGATTGAATAAAGCTTTCTTTTTTCTTAAGAGATTTTTGTTACAGGGTGCATGTGCTCACTGGAGAGACAGAGAGGGGCAGAAAATGAGAAATCACACCCCGCAGGGGGATGACATGACTATGCTGCAATCCCTTCTTTTTCCGCCACTTCTTGGGCTTTTGGGCACATATGCACACGCACCTGATGTGAGTTTCAAGTCATCAGGTCCAGGACTCAAATCCTCAGTCAAATATATGGGAGTCCAGTTCCTTAACACTATGCCACCTGGTGGCCCTGAGATTGAGTAAAACTTTAACCAAAAACTTTACATACCAGTAAGCCCATAAATTTATTAACTGATATTTATCACATACATAAACATGGAATCAAAATACATACAGTGCACCACTGGCTTTATTAGAAAAGATTCAAACACTTGATGTCTTTATCCCTGGATTTGGTCTAAGTTCACATGAAGAATTTCCAAAATATTCTCAAGGGTTAAGAAAATACTTTCAATGTCTAAAAGACTAAAAATAACGAACAAATAGGTGGAAGGACAATTCTAGACAACGGAACCAGGGAGTAAGAAGGTATGAGCATGGCTGCACCAACCCCTCCAATTTCACTCCTAGCAAGGCTTTGGCAGAGCACAACCAGATGACGACTAGTAGCAGTCTGTCCCTCAACATTTGCAACACGAAACTGGGACAGGACTCTGTTCTACACCCATCGTTCCTAAAAAGGAAGTCGTGCTCTGGCTCAAAGAGCATTTTTCTTCCACTGTGATGCTCTGCTAGCCAGAGCATGAACTGCACACCATCACTGTGCAATCCTGTGAATTAGAGCAGCAGGGCTGGACATGGTAGAGCACCAGAAATGGGGAACTGCCAGTCCAGGGACCTAGCATTAAAGGGAAACCCTTTGATGCTGAAGAGCTGAATGGATTCGCCATTGGAGATAATTACTTCAAGAACTCCCAGGGTTGGGAACCAGCAGTTAGCGTAATGGCTATGTCGCTGGACTCCCACGTAGTTGACCGCAGTTCGCGTCCCGGACGCCGGGCGCGTGTGCATGCGTGCCCAAGATCCTGAGAGAAAAATGGAGAAGGGATTGCGGCGTGACCATCCCCTCTGGGGGGTGATTTCTCGCTTTCTGTCTCTATGTCTCTCTCTGTCTGGCAAGCACAAGATAAAAAAAAAGAGGGGGGGGGGGGGGAGAACTCCCAGGGTTTTTTTTTTTTTTCTTTTCCTTTCTTTTTTTTGTTTGTTTGTTTTTTCTGTTTTTGAGAGGTTTTTGCTATAGGGTACATAAGCTTGCTAGAAAGACAGAGAGACAAAAAGCGAGAAATCACCCCCCAGGGGGGATGGCCACACCGCAATCCCTTCTCCTCTACTCTCCTCTCGGGATCTTGGGCACACACGCACATGCTCCCAGCGTAAGTTTTAAGCCACCGGGTCCGGAGGCGAACCGTGACTCACTACATGGGAGTCCAGCAACAGCCATTTCTGGACAGCTGGTCCGATTTTTTGTTAATATTAAAACAAAATGGTAAATGTAAAACAACCTTTTTAAATTCTAAGGTGATAATATTCAATGAAAATACTCTGTGATACAGAAATGTACATCATATCATTATTTAAAATCCATCCAATCATCTTATTTTAACTTGATCTGTTTGTCAACTTGATGCTCCATCATATTATTGGGATGGAGGGGTAGGGAGGAAGTATTTAAATATGATAATGATTATTCAGATTTCAATACAGCTTTGAAGTAAAAACATTGGTACATTTCTTTTTTTACAGAGAGATTTTTTTCGCTATAGGGCCCGTGCGCTCACCAGAGAGCTAGAGGAAGAGAAAGAAATAAAGCGAGAAATCACCCCCAGGGGGATGTCCATGCTGCAATCCCTTTTCCTCCATTCTCCTTTCAAGATCTTGGGTACACACCACACACACTGTGTTTAAATCACCAGGTCCGGGACTCAAACCACAGTCAACTGTGTGGGAATCCATTACGCCATCTGTTGATCCTGAAATATTGGTACATTCTTAAGCATAAATATTTTTTCTACTGAAATTTTCTCCCCACATTCTTCACTCCTCCCCCACCTACAAGAAATCATGTTTATCCTTGAACTGTGAACTATACAAGCATAGATTAACCCTGGCTACTGCATTCTCAGATTTGTGATATTCATACAACTAGAAATCTCAAGCCTTTTAGGGAAGCAAGAATGTACAAAGGGGGAAAAGACTTATCTCAGAACCACATGATTCTAAGGAGAACAAAAAAGTGTTCCCTTTTCAGCTCTCCAGCACTTTCCTCTGCACCTCATCCACTGGAGGTTTTATCATTTTTGTTACTTAATATTATGCTTAGGAATTTTCTCTTTCCCCTGCCTCTTCAACTACAGTTGAATAATGAACCTTTAAATTCGCTGTAATCTCTTGAATGTAATTACCTCACAACATGATGTATTTTGCAACATGTTAGGCAATTTAAGTAAACCATATGTTTTACAGATTGTCAGATTTTTTACATATCAAATTAGTTTACCTAACATTCTAGTAAAAGGTGAGGATGGATAAAGATAATGTTAGGTTGCAGGGAAATTCTTGCTATATTTTTCTATGCAAAAATGCATCATGACTTTCCAGACAACCCAGATATTAAACATACAAAGGCTGAGGCCAGCAAGTGGCATGGTGGTTAAGGTGTTGTACTCCCATATGGCTGACTGCAGCTTGAGCCCAGGACCTGGCGGCTTGCTTTCTCACTTTCACTTTCTTTCTCTGTCTCGCTCCAGTATGTGCACATGCCCTATAGAGAATTAAAAATAATAAATATGATTAATAATTTTTAATAAAATATACAAAGCAAGCACACTCAGTATTTTGTGAATATTCAATGTTTTTATGACTATAGTATATTGAGTCTGATCTGGAAGGCCAGAGTATAGTGGAGAATTAGGAGTGAATGAGTAAAGAAAATATCCCTTAGTGTAAAGATATCAAAGTTTAGAAAACCTATGAAAATGGTGCAAGCCATTAAATGCCCTTTTCTAATTTGGTCTCAACAAGGAAAAAAGGGGACTATATCTATAATATTAGTTTGGAAAAATATTCTATTGAGTGACCCTTCTTGTCCATATGTAAAATTATACAGTATGGCATGAATAAGTTTAAGGATCTGTGGATTAAGGAAGGAGGAAGATGAGGAAAAGGCCTGCTAGAAAGACTAACCAAACAATTACAACAGTTCCAAAGTATGATATGTGGACGTCGTAGTTCCTGTAAGTACAAAACAACTTCCACAATAACACAAAGGAGTTATTTGCCTATGTCACCCCATTGATATCATAATGATATCATAAAAACGAAAGCAGCAGAGGGTAAAAGTATTGATGCCTTTGCTTGAATCAAGGCTGTGGGATCAAAGCAGTCAGGACATTCCTGGCTACATCATACCTGGGGGAGCAGAGCTAGTTTCTCTTAACATCGTCTATGGGAAGAAAAGAAGTGTAAATTTTATCAAATCTGTGACAAAAAGGCCTATATATA